CCCACCACTGTCCGCTTGGCTCTGCTCTATCTGCTGATGTTCTCCTCATCCTGAACCTTTGGGTGCCTTGTGAGAATATGTTCTCCTCTCTACCCTTCCCTTGCCCTTGAAAACCACATGGCCTTGGACAGGTTACTCCAACCTTCCTGCTGTGCAGCTTTCTCATCTGTAAAATGGGGATAATAACAATCCCAACTCCATAACATGAATATCATTATCAGGATTAAAGGAAGTAAGACAGAAGATGCTTAGTACGATATCAGGCACACACACCATGAACTTTCATTACATTAGCTGTAGGGATGATGGTGGTGATGGTGACAGTCGTAAAAACAAAAAAAATGATAATGATAAAGATGATGATGGTGGTGGTGAAATCTTCTTCCTTGGGACTATTCATGTGGTAGTAGACTCCATGTCTACCTTGAACTGGCTCCAGGTTCTGTCCAATATATTTTTTTGTCTATGCTTCCAGCTATCTTGATCCTGGCTTCTCCCTACAATACTTAACCCCCCAGTACTCATGGTAAAAAAACCCAGACCCTCCAAGGTATAAGGGAGCTTGCAGCTGATCCAATCTATCATTTCTATCATAAATGAATAAACAGGTTCAGTGAAGTAATTTGCTTTAGGATGGATGTCTCCTTCAACCCAGGTGATGTCACATTTACATATCAGAAACAAATATGTCACTTTTTCCCCATCTATAAGCTAAAGTTGGAGATGGATGTGGACCAAAATACATGCCCACGCCCACCCCTGGTCCTTTGTACTCACTTCTCCCTCTGCCTGGAGCTCTCTTCCTCAGGTATCCTCTTGGCCCTGTCACTCACATTGTTCCCATTTCTGATCTGCTTTATCACAGAGGCCTTCCCTATCCATCCTATGTAAATGAGCACCCTGTCACTCTCTGTCCCCTCCCAGGCTTCATCTCTCCCCCCACTCTCAGCCTTATCACCACCTGGTAGGCTGTTTTGTGGCTTATTGTCTGCTCTCCCTGTAGAACGGAAACATCATGACAGCAGCAGAATTGTTCTGTTTAGTTCCTATTGCCTAAGATGCCTGGGCCCAGAGTGGCTATTAGATAAATAATTGCTCATTTGATCATTCATTCATTCATTCAGTGGGTAAGTCAGTCTGTTATTTGTGGAATGACTTCACAAAGCCTCAGTCCACCAACTATGCAGTTGGTTCATAATGTCACAGAACTTAGTAGCAAATTATGGGTTAGAATTCTACCTCCACCCTCCTCCCACACGCTGCCTTTATTCTGCCTGTCTGTAGTTTAGGAAATCAGGCCTTCGGGGCAAGAGAGTTGTTCATTACAGTTGTCCCCTGGCTTTTAGGGGAGAATCCAGGAGGCTTCAGTCCCCTTAGGATGATGGCTGCCCTTTGGTTCCCAGTGAAACAAAGCCAAGGAAGCCCCTGTCCCCTCTACCCAATACTGAGATTCTGGGCTTCTTCTCAGACCCAGAGGAGACAAGACCCACCAGATCAGAGGGCGATGGGCCCACCTGTTCACTACAATCTGTAGGGCCATTATCCCTCTGCCCCAACTCGGGAGACAAGCTGAGTAGAACATTGTTTGATAAAAATCGCTTTTCTGCTATTACACAGAATAGAAAGCTGTCTCTTTCATTTTGTTGGATTGCAGGATAAATCAAGTACACAGTATTTGTTTACCAAGAAACCACCTGTTTACCATTTGTAAAGGGACTTGATTGCCACTGAGAAATATTAAGTGTGGAGCTGCAGTAATCTATACACTGAGGAAGAGCAGGAGGCACAAAAATTGGGGAGAAAAGACAAAGAAGAAAGTTACGGGCCTTGAAGAAATGAGGTCTCCAGGAGGTGAAATGGAAATAATGGAAATTACTATAAGCCAAGCCTTGTGTTAAGAACACTGCCAACTGCTCTGCTAACCTCATAACATTCCTGCAATTACCCTGATTTCACACACTGAGAAACTGAGGCTCAGTGGGTCACATGACTTGCCGGAGCTTCAGCAGGTGGTAAACTGTAGACCTCATAGGTAATTTCAAGCCTAAATTTTGTTCTCTGACCTTTGTCCCTAGGCAAATAGATTGAACTGTCCTGCTGGGGCATTTTCTATGGCGACTTTACCCAGCTCAGATCTAGCTGTGACCAGTGGGATTCTAAGCTCCCCGCCTCCACAACCAAACCCAGAGGAGAAACATAACCATCCAGATCTGTGAGTAGTGGGCCCCGCCTGTTTACTACAATCTGTAGGGACCATTGTCCTAAATATCCCAACTTGGGAGATAAAGCTGAGTAGAACATTGTCTGGATAATTCAATGTTATCATTGGACCTGGGTAAATTCTGAGGCCTAGGAATTTCCATTTTGCCCTGGAAAAGTCAATGAGTCGACAATCACCATAGAAAAGGAACTCACTCCTCTTCGTGGGACTAGAGAGCAAAGATAACTCCAAGTATGGGAACTTGGCCTAGCACAAAACTAGGCTGGGAGATTAGAGAGCATTACAGTTGGTAGGTGTGTGGGGTGGAGGCTGCCAGTTTGAAGAAGAAAGTAGCATCAGGAGACAACACTGGCCAGGAATTCAGAATGGAGAAGGTGAGGCTGGTGGATGGAGCTAAGAGAGAAGCCAGGGCAAAATCTGCACGGAAAAATGGCAGGCTGGTTGGATAGAGGTGAAGCAGAGAGGCCAAAGTGTAAGACAGAAACAGGACTGATGCCAGGAAGCTCAGCCTGGGGAGTCCTAGTTCCCCCAGGGAAGGAGATTGCAGCCCAGCATCCTGTGACTGCTGAGTCACAAGGTCCTTTGATCTCAGTGAACCAGGGTACTGGACACTGCCTTGTTTGGGACAAAAGGTCTACTGTGCACACATAGCCTGGGCCTTCATGGCAGCACCCAGACACACTGGCCTGGCCCAGAGGATGAGAATCCCTCCTTCAGACTGTCTTCTGGCTTCTAAGAGAATCTGGCCTAGAAACTTCCAACCTTTAGACAAAGCACTTTAAGGAAATTATCTTAGTTTAAACTTTAAGGAAATTATCTTAGTTTAAATACTGGTCACTGACGAGATGAGGATCATGCAGCCACACACTGCTCCCTCTGCTAAGAAGGTGTCACCAGGAAAATATAATTAACCTGTGAACTCATCGATGAGCATGATCTTCATCCTTATCTCACCCATGACTATCTATGGCCATCTGCCAGCCGGTCATCTATTTTAAACTGTTCTACTCCAACTCCTTGGTCTAATACCTTCTCTCTCCCACTCCCATCCTGAAATTCCACTTGTATCCTGGGGGTTGACAATACGGGGAAAAGGGGCCTCAAGAATTTACCTTCTAAATGATGATCCATTAGCTAGACTCCAAAGGATGGGAAGCTTATTCTATCCCTTTGCTCCCCAAATCAGCAGCATTGTTCTTCCTTGAAACGAAGAGGACATGCAGGCTTATGAGTCAGAAGTGGAAAGGAGATTGCTCGGCCAAAGGTTTTCTTTTAGGGAAAACTTTATCTTACGAAGCATTCAGGAAGTTTTCTGTAAATTTGGGAACTAACAGGGCTGAAAATTCACGGGCTAAATCTGTTAAGGAGAAGAAAGGCCACCTGAATTATTTCAAAGAGACGAATTATTACTTCATTGTCATCCGATGCTAATCCCACTCTTCATCACCTGCGATGGTTTTCCCCAGCTGCCAATGTCCCATGGTTAGGTTTAAAGCAGATCCAAGAACCCCATCCCACAGATTTCCTCTGTGTCAGTTAAAGGCTGATTTCCTGTCAGAAAAGGGATTGGGAAATGCCATCTCTTCTGCCAACCTATCCTTGGAGAGATGTCTGCCTCATTAATGACAAGGCCACTTTGTCATTTCTCAGAGAAAATCCCCTGGCTGCCATGGAAGGGATGGTTCCTCTCCACCATGCTCCGTGCCTCCGCAGCCTGCCAGGCCCTGTCTGGATTGGGTCTGTGGTCATTCTGGAATCAGCGGAGACAGGAAGCACCAGGCTGGGAAGGCAGGTGGGTGGAGCTGATCTGACCTGGGAGGAAGCTGAGCTGGGTGTTTGCAGAGCCCTTTACTGATTTGCTAGGTGACCTCAGGGCAGTGATTCTTAAATATTGGGGGTCACAGATCCTGTTGAAAAGAGAGGAAAGCTATGAACCCCTCACCTGTGGGCCACAGCCTCCAAGCTTTTAATTCAGTGGCTCTCCCCAACCCAAAGACCTACCTAGGCTCCTATTTCATAGCTCCCCAGAGAATCTTCAGATAGATTTGGATTTCCTGTGCAAGTAGAATAGCCAAAGATAGCTTATTATAAGGTCATATGCCTGGGAGGGAGGAGATCTATGATTTAATTCACCCAGGGTTTAATTGCTTGAGCATGGGAAGGCCACATTTTTCTCTAGTGCCCCCACCTTCAAAAGGAGGATGGTGAGCTTCTTCTTTAATGGATCCTGAGGGTTTCAGGGGGCAACCACAGGGCTATAGCCCTGGGCAAGATGGAGGCAGGCCAGCAAGGTTTTATGGCCATTCTCTCCCTTCCCTTCATATACCAGCTTTTCTGCTCTTAAAAAGTTTGAAAGTCTCTGGATTAGAGGATTTCGAAGATCCCTTCTAGAGCTAACTTTGTTGTATTCTAGGTTAGTCCAGGAAAGCTGGAGTCCAGAACAGATGGCTCAATTAAAGGGCCTCACTCTAAAAGGTATATTCCTTGGCTCCTGGCTCCATCTCAAAAGAATATGGGTCTATCTTTAGCCTTACAGCCTCAGGGTCCACTGGCTCACACCAGATGCTCCTGCAAACTGTATGGAACCCTGCAAGAGAGGAAGCCCATGCTGGGGAAAGGGGAGTGCAGGCTGTTTAGCTCCACTCGCAGCCCTTCCAGTTCAGGGAGCTGAGTCTTGCAAAGTTCCAGGGGCACATTGTGAACGCTGAGGGAAATGGCAGGCTGCTCCCGACCCATTCAGTGTCGAACTGTGTTACTGGTATTGTTCTGCTAACTTGCTAAATAGCTATAATTAAAACCAGGCTATTATCATTAATTATGATCCTCCTCTTCTGATTGGCAGCTTGGTGCTTTCATCAAGTTTTAAAGAGCAGCACTTCTGTGTCTTACAGGAAGCAAGGAAGATAGAAGGGGTGAATTGTTCTGACTCTGGAGCAAAGGGCACCATTGCATTGCCAGGGCAGCAAATTTTTGCGCCCACGGGGCAGGACGTCCCTGTCAGCTCATCCAGACACAACAGGCTGCTGGCTGTCTCCTGCCTCCTCCAGGGGCTGCTATTCACTTTACAAAGGAGCAAGATTGGACCGGGAGATTGGATGAAATTCCATAGGCAAAAGTTCTACCCAACATTTTAAGGCTCAACTGAAATGCCACCTGCTCCGTGGAATTTCTTCCAATTTCCCAACTCCCCCATCTCCTTCACCTCCCCCAGGTGAAAATGAATCACTCTCTCATCAATATTGTCATTGCAACTTCTCCTCCATTTTCCATAGTCTTAAACCTCCAATTCTTTCTAATTTCTACTCCCATAAACTTCAAGAAACATCTATAACCTCTTCAATCCCAGAGTCCCGGGAGTCCTGGGAAAGGGATGATGTCCCTTTTATGTTATGCTCAACTTTCCTGACCCCTAGCTCTTTAGCAGCTAGAAGACCCATGACCACACCATAGCCCCCACCTGATTTGTCTACCTTCTAACAGGTGCTCTGCTTGGTTGCCTAAATAAACTCAATAGTCCCAAGTTTGCTCTCAAGTAGAAAAAGTTGTGAAGGATCATAAAGTGTGAGGGCTTTGGTGTCCCCTTAAGGCTGACCTTGGCTTGAGGAAGAAAAACGTCTAGAACAATGGTCATCAGGCACAATTATGGTTGTCAAGCATA